TATAACAATATATAAAATATAAATTATATACATATAATTATAGATTTAATTATATAATTATAAATATAAATCAAAATAATATATACTAAAATATAAATTAAAAAATAAAAATTAAATGAATAATGAGACCACTTTTTCCTATTCAATAACTTCCTCTTTCATACTTTTGTGCTAATTATTTTCCTAAAGAATGAGACCATCCTGATATTGATCTAGACTGGGTAGAAACACTACCCAGTCCACATTGTGCCTTCTAAACATGATGGTCAAATACTAAGTCTTTTTCTAATGACCATTTCCAAGAAGTTAGGCATTTTCTGGTTCAGCCTGAGAGTGATTAATTTTGCGAGATGCCTCACCCAGATAATCTCCATTTACATTGTATGAGTAATGAGGTTAAAAGTGCTACTGTAGTCAGTTTTTTTTTAAATTCCTTTGTGTTTCTGATCCTGAGTCTAAAATTCTGTGAATACTATATCATCCATCACATCTAACCCTGATTACATGAACCTGACCTGTTTTTATGAGTCAAGATCAGAACTTCAAAATTCTCTCTTGTCAGGATGCTATTTCTCAAGTTTCTCATTGCTGTCTCCAATGTCTAAATTGTCTTCAACTTTACTGTAAGTCACATATGTCTATCAGGATGCTATCTTTTTTTAAAATTGATTTATTTTAAATTAAGCACAAAAACTTAAATGCACAATAAGAAAAGAAAAAGAAACATTATAAACTTCAATATTAAAACTTAAACACAAAATAAGAAAATAAAAAAAAAGCATTGCCATGTGCACAGCAGAGCATAAGGGAGGATTCAAAATATACAGCGATAAATTTCTATTTCTCAAAAATCTATAATAACTGTGCATTATATTCAGAGCTGTTCATTTTTTCTTCTGTTCTCTGCTGTCACTTTTTATTTTGTTCTTTTCCCCCTACATCCTCACATGCCACCCAAAGAAGGCTACAATTAAGTTTGGATATATTTATATACAAATATGTGTATATGCATATACACACATTATTATTATAACTCATTATTCATAAGTTTGTGTTGAATTTCCCTTCCCATATCCATATCCTTTTGGCAAATCTATATTGTTAAGCTTCACAATGCTCAGTGGGGGGGGTTGGGGGGGAAGGGGGGGGGATGGGGGGGGGGGGATGGAGGGAGAAGGGAGAAAGGGAGAAGGTAGGACTAAGTAGATCTGAGAAAATAGACCTAGGTTGTCCCTCCAGAAATAACCTGAAATCTAGGATGCCTTGTATCGGTTTTTGGGGAGAAGTGGAAAGGTGATGCTGGTACTTTTGGAAAAGGGATATTCCTAAGAGGTAGCTAATTCCCTTTTATATGAAGCATCTCAGTAGTTTGACAATAGTTAACTTTTATAGATTTTAAGTTTGGTAAAGCACATTGCAAACACTATCTCAGCTGAGACTCACAACAACCCCATGAGGTAAATATTATTATCCCTATTTTTAACTGAGAGAACTGAGGCTGAGAGAGGATGTGTCATAACTAGGGTCTCACAGCTAATGAATATCTGAGACCAGATTTGAAGACAAGTGTTCTATCCACTATATCACCTAGCTTCCTTTCTGACAACATGCCAGGAATAGATGAGAGGAGATTCCTTTTAGGTATTTGCTTAACTAGGTGACTTCTCATTTTTTTCCTTATTTGAGATCCTGTAAATTATCATAGGAAATATGTTGCAGCCCATTTGCATTCACAATATGTCTCTCCATAGTCCTTTAGGTAATCCATAATTCGAATTTCTCTCATTTGTTCCAAGATTCCAAGTCATAAAAATGTCCATAAGAATATTTATGTTGAAAAAAAATCTCTTTTTGCTGGGTATCATTAAAAGCAGTGCACAATTTCCCCCACATATAAACTCCTTAAATTAATTTGGTGTCTAAATCAGGGTTCGTTTAGAGACTCTCTCCAGAATGTCTGCATTCAAATGCTGACTTAATTGACTATCTATCCAACTATATGTTATGGACTAGACAGCAGGTATTTTTCATCATTTTAGTTTTTTTTCCTATTTGGATTGATAAGCCAATATCTTTTGATTAATGATATATCTTTTTGAGGTGACTCTGTACTATTTTGGGTCTTGAGAAGTCATCGCAAGATCTTATACATGAAGCATCATCTGAAATAACTCAAAATCTTCAGGGAGTCCCTCTTCCATTTGTATCTTATGCAAAACACCCTCCATTAAAGCAGTAAAATGAACTTATTTGCCTAGATTACTTCTTGTTTCATGCTTTGCTTAACGTTAATAAATAAAGGGGTATTGAGCAATATATTCTCTGAAGTTGCATTAATCAAGGAATCCCATTAATCTTAACACTATCATGAACGAATACTTGTTAGCTGAGACCATTCCAGTCATTGAAGATCAGGATACCCTTGCCCAACCAAGGAAAAAATAAACAAACTAGTAGGGGCTACTTTTTCATGGGTCCCACCAATTCTTTGTCCTAGGATGGATGTCAATCCTCTCTTATCTCCTATTTGTTCCTTTCTTTTTAAAAAAAATAGATAGTTGTCCACTAAAGTCCTATTTTCTAAATCTTAATTTACCAATGAATGACTGAGGGAGAAGCCATTATGCAAGCTCGCTCATCTCCCACTTCAATTCTTTCTAAGTGGTTTTCTGAATCTTGGTCCTTCTGCCTAGAATCCCTCCCCAATTTTCTGTAGTTCAGTTGGAGAAGAACTAGGATTTCTTGACTCAAAATTAGGCCCTATCTCAGCATTCCTCAGGTAGTTCTCCAGAGGTACTCTATTGGGCAGAACATTGGTTAATGATACCATCTTGAGGGAATTCTGTTCTTCCCCTTTCCCACAGTCCAGACCCTAGGGAGGGTTAGTGTAGAAATCACTCAGTAGTTTCTACAACAGCAGTATAAAGCTTTCCTCCTCACACCTATTCAGGGGATAGCTCAAAGTGATGTCAAGACAAATCTAATACAAGACTTCTTTCTGGTATCAGTCTTGGTAAGTCAGCCCATGTGCTTTTTGTTTCATTTTGTTTTTCTGATCCTGGTTGATTAATTTTGTATCTTTTTATATTAAAAATTGAGTCAGGATCCTATATTACCTTCATTTTCAAATATACCTCTACCTACTCCCCTACCCAGTAATGTGTCCCTTTTAACATAGAATTTTAAAAGAAAGAGGGGAAAAGTAGTTCAACAAAATTAAACAACACCTCAACAGATCCCGATACTATATAAAATATCTTATATCAATATGCCTCCACTTCGCAAAGAGTGGGAAGTGTGTTTTCTCCATTCTTCACCCTAAAGTTAATTCTGAAACTTCCAGAGGTAGAGGTAAATATACATGGGAAAATTAATGTAGGGATAGGGGTGAGGAGGAAGAGAATAGGAGTTTAAACATAGTCTAATGAGTGAACAGTGGAAAGAACAGGGTCAAAAAAGGTCTTTGGACAATAGTAAGGAGGGGCAACGAAGTTTTCATGGATATTGAATAAGAACAGGAAATTGTTGCATTTGTTTTTATTTAGTACTTTGTGGGCAAAATGTGAAAGAATGAATAGACTAATCTGCTATGGCCCCAGACTGGACATCCCAAACAAAAGTGGATAGTATGAAAAGAAAATCTCAAATTAAAATAAGGCTTCCTAATACTTGTGGCTTTACGATGGAAGGACAAGGAATTAGAAATGTCAAAGAAGGTATCCAATAAGTTTATTATCCATATATTGTATGGATTAGAGATAAAAAAGAATCTTAGAAATCATGGAATCCAAACCTTTCATTTTATTTTTTGAGTGTGTAGGGGGGAGGCAAGGCAATTGGGGTTAAGAATGTCTCTGCATGCTCCAAAGCCCATGTGGGGATTGCATCAGTCAAGTATGTTGCATATTCTCAAAAAAACTGGGCTCACTGGCCACTCCTCTCATTACCTTGTGATCACCCACTTACTACCTGTAGATCTCCAATGATGAGAAATCACTAATAATCAAAGAAGTCCATTTTACCTTTAGACAACTCAAATTTTGAGGAATTTGTGTTTGCTTGTTTACAGTGAAGAGAAATCCATCTACATTTAGCATTGACTGCTCCTACTTCTATTCTCGAGGCACTATAGTTAAACCCTTTACTACATAACAGCCCTTAATATATTTGATCACTGCCTTCATATATCATCTAATTCTTATCTTCTTAGGGTCAAATGTCAACAACTCCTTCAACACATACACATTTTGACTGGTTCAAGTCATCTCAAAATCCTTTTCTGCTATCAGAACTATGTATTTTTAAATATTATTTTTAAAATAAAATAACAAGGATTGAACAAAATAACACAATATGAGTAAAACCTCACTCATTCTTTGTTCTAGGCTTCTGAACTTTGACTTTGGCTACTCCTATATGGAGGGTAGAAACGTGGATGAGTGGAATTCCCTTCGAGAAAGGTGATTTTTGCCAATATATCTAAATTTAAGGGTCTTGCTGACTTCTGATTTTTGCAGGGGTTTGTGGGGAAAAGATGAAACCATAGAAACTTTCATAGAAATAATTTACCTTGCCTTGCCACAGAGAAATAGGTGACATGTTTGAACTGTTAGAGCTATGTGACCTGGCACAGGGTGTCCTTTCCCCATACGTTATACCCCTGGAACACTTGTGAGTTGCTTTTTCAGATGGATGACTTAATGGGAAGCTGAGGAAGCACCACTCCTCCTCCCCCCATCCAAAACCACTGGCCAACATGATCATGTGGTACAGCAAACCATGTTAGTTTCATCTAGTGCTAATATAGTCAACTTGAAACTGTTGGGAACTCACTAACATGTATTGATGGCTGAAATGAATGGAGTTCTCTGAATGTCCCAGGGAAATTCTCTGCATCTTATTGTTCAACATTTTTATCAGTGAGTTGTTGAAAGTAAGTCTGGCTGGTTTATCTAACTAGGAAGTGAGATTTCAATTTGAAAGGATAGTTAGTACAGGGGATGGCAGGCAAGTTCCAAAAAGAATACAGGATGGTAGAATGAGAAACTAAATCTAATATGATAAACTTAAATATTGAAAAATATAAAGTTTCATGTTTGTGTTCAAATCAATTATATTGGTAGATGAGGAGGATATGAATAGACAACACTCTTTTTTTTTTTACCAGACTATGCATTCATTATGAGTTAAAATGTGCATGAGCACCAAAGCTGATATGAAACTAAAAATAACAGAAGTATAATGTGCAAAATTAAGTAGGTGATACTTTTCCAGTACTCTACTGTGATCAAGCACAATTTGTAATGTTGTGTTCAGTTTTAGGAGTCAAATCTAAGAATGGACATTTAACTTGTGTCGACATTGACAAGTTGGAGCATTTTCAGGGGATGTTGATGGAAACTGAGGTCTAAGGTAGGTTGAAGAAACAAGTTATTTTGTTTAGAAAAGGGAAGACTTGGGGAAATCATGATAATTGTCTTCAACTACAGGAAGCCTATCCTACATAAGAAGAATCTTGAAATGGGAAGAACTAGGCAGAGATGGTGAAAGTTCATGATTTGAAAAACTAGGTTTAATTAAAATATCAACTTCCTAAGAATTAGGCCTCTCTGAAAAGGGAATGGTCTAGGTAGGGAGTTCCTGATCCCTCTGGGGCTTCACCTGGTTGCAAGATGACTACTTCTCAAGGATATTATTGAGCACATTTCTGTTCAGATAAGGGTTTGATGAGATAATCTTGGAGGTTCCTTCATATTCTGAGAATATGTGATTTAAATCATTCCTTTATCTTTCTAGGAATTCAGAGACAGCGAATCATAATATTTGAATCCTGTCCAGTGTTTGAAATCCCATCTGCAATGACTATAGCCATCATCAACTAAAAAAAAAAAAAAAAGGATGCCCCATTCCAATGATACTCAATTCCACCCCACCTTTTTCCTATTATTGGGCATCCCTGAACTGGAAACTTTTCACATCTGGATTGGCTTCCCTTTCTGTGTTGTGTATCTTATTGCCATCTTGGGAAACATCACTATATTATTTGTGATCCAGACTGAGGAGACACTTCACCAGCCCATGTTTTACTTTCTGGCCATGTTGGCCACTATTGACCAAGGCCTATCCACAACCACAATTCCCAAGATGCTGGGAATCTTTTGGTTCAGATTGAGGGAGATCAATTTTGGGGCCTGTCTCACACAGATGTTCTTTATCCATCTGTTGACTGCAATGGAGTCAGTTGTGTTATCATCTATGGCCTATGATCGCTATGTGGCAATCTGCAATCCTTTGCATTATAGCACTGTCCTCACCAACAGGGTGGTGTCCATAATGGGCATTGGGGTAGTGCTGAGGTCATTCTTTACAGTGGTTCCCTTTGTATTCCTGATCCTTCGACTCCCTTTCTGTGGAAACCATGTCATTCCTCACACCTATTGTGAACATATGGGCATTGCCCGACTGGCCTGCACAAGCATCAGAGTCAACATGATCTATGGCCTATGTGCTATTGGAACTCTGATATTTGATATTATAGCTATTGCTGTATCCTATGTTCTCATTCTCCAAGCTGTCTTTCACCTCCCCTCCCAAGATGCCCGACTAAAAGCCCTGAGCACCTGTGGCTCTCATGTTTGTGTTATCCTAGCCTTTTATACCCCAGCCTTATTCTCTTTCATGACTCATTGCTTTGGCCAGAATGTTCCTCGCTATATCCACATCCTCCTGGCCAATCTGTATGTTGTTGTCCCACCCATGCTCAACCCTGTTATTTATGGGGTTAGAACCAAGCAGATCTGGGAGAAAGTGTTAAAGATGTTTTCAAAAAAATAAATCATAGAGTTGGAACTCCAATTTTTTCTAGCTTTTCTCCATTACATATAATGTTTGCTCTTTATTTTAGATAGATACTATTTATCATTTTAAGGAAAACTCCATTTATTCATATGCTTTCTAGTGTGTTTTTAAATAACAATAGTTACTCATTCATTTTGTCACAAGCTTTTTCACAAGAAATCATTACTGTTTTTATTTATTAGTTCTTTTTTTGTTTTATTTATTTTTGTTAAGCTCTCCTTTTTTGAAGCTCTCTCTCTTTTTTTTGTTAAGCTCTCCATTTATAGGTATAATTATAAACACTTCACTTGAATTCAAAAGTCAACTTTAGAAGTAAAAGATTGTGGAACAATGATGAGACAACAATAATTATTGAGTAATAAAAGAGACTATGATTGAAGTTGAAGTAGAAGTATCTAAAGGATGACAAATAGTTGGAATTGACTGGAATGTGAGAGTACTAGAAACCTTGAGAATTAACTGAAGACTTATAAGGATGTTATTTTGGAGAAAAGAAAGTTTAAAGGGAAAAATAATGCATCACAAAATTATAGGAGCTCCGATTAGGAAGAGAACCCTCTGTAAAAAGACTAACAAACAGCTATCATCTAATGGCATGGAGTGGTACGATTATTGTGGGGAGCAGATAGCTCTACTCAGTCCTTTACTCTTTTATGTATCTTAAATTACTAAGAAGTCTTTTGACATGAAATCTTTTCTCTTTGAGACTTATAAACCAAGCAATTTCTTCTAGTTCCTTCTGCTAATATATATATATGTATATGTATATATGTTTTTTCTTTTTTTATCTTGTTCTTATGGAATTGATTTTTTATTATTTATTTAATTTTAACTTTCTTTAAATTTTGAATTTCAAATTCTCTCCTTCCCTCTTAACCCTCCCATAGCCACTGAGAAGGCAAGCAATATAATATCAATAATACATGTGAAATCATGAAAAAATATTTCCATATTAGCCATATCACAAAAAAAAATAAAGTGAGAAAACTATACTACAATATGGATTCAGACTTAATCAGTTCTTTCTCTGGAGGTAGACAGCATTTTTCATCATGAGTCTTTTGGAATTTTCTTGGATAATTTTATTGATCAGAATAGCTAAGTCTTTCAAAGTTGATTATCATTGCAATATTGCCTCCAACAATGACAACAGTAGCTAGTGTGGCTTTCATGGTTTCTCTGACTCTTCTCATGCTTTCTGCATGTTCATTACCATCTCCCATGATCATTTGAGCTCTACACTATCAGGTCTTCCTTCTCTCTTAAGATGACTCCCCTTTCCTTCCACATGGAATGGGAAGGAATAAGTTGTTAGATTTTCATTACTCCCCTGGGGATGGAGTAGCAAGACTTTGGAAATTTCTGTCTGCCAGAAGACTTTGTCTCCAGTGCCCTGAAACATGTGTAAGAAAGAACACATTGTGAAAAAAAAAAGAGTGGGGGTAGGGAGATGAGGTGGTGGGAATGCATAATAACAATGTTTATGTATTTGCAGGGAAATCTTAGAAAAGGGGTAGATTTTTTTTTTGTTTGCCACAGAGTAGCCAGAAATCAGTTACAGAATGTCTCTGCATGCTCCAAAGCCCATATGGGGATTGCATCAGTCATGTTGCATATTCCAGAAAAAACTAGGCTCACTGGCCACTCCTCTCATTACCCTGTGATCACCCACTTACTACTTGTAGATCTCCAATGATGAGAAATCTCTAATAATCAAAAAAAGCTCATTTTACCATAGGCAACTCAAATTTTGAGGAACTTGTGTTTGCTTGTTTACAGTGAAGACAAATCCATCTACATTAACACTGACTGCTCCTACTTCTCTGAGGCACTATAGTTAAACCCTTTTCTACATGACAGCCCTACTTGACCACTGCCTTCATATATCATATAATTCTTATCTTCTTAGGGCCAAATGTCAACAATTTCTTCAACAAATACTCATTTGGACTGATTCAAGTGTTCAAGTATAGAGGAAAAATGGTAGGAGGACAAGCAAGTGAAATTTAAACAAAGGGCATTGATGATAATAGTTCATGCCTGACTAAACACATTTTTTTTATTAAGGAGGTGCTAAATTAGTCAATCATGTGAATGCTGTAGATTTTGGTAAAATATTGGGAAAAGTGCATTGTGCTATTCTTGTGCAAATGATTGAGATAACAGCTACATAATAGGATAGTTAGGTTGCTTTGAAACTAGCTAAAAGACTAGTATTCATTTTGTTGAACAATGTCTATTTGTGGCAATGACAGGGATTAGAGATTAACTCTATGTTCATTAAGACTTTTAACACTAAACTGGATAAAAACAAAGATGGTATCTTTATCAGATTTACAGGTGACACAAAGTTTGGAGGGAGAGCTAATACAATCAATGACAGTGAGTATCCAAAAACATAGACTTCAGTACTTAGCTAAATTTAATAAGATGAACTTTCATTGGGATAAATGTTAAAGTCTTACTCTTGGCTTCAAAAAAAGTACTTCATAAGTACAAGATGGAGGAGGCATGGTTAGATAGCACTTTGAAAAAGGTTTGGATATTTTGCTGGATTCCAAGTTGAATTTGAGCTATGTCTTCATATGGCATGCTCTTCAGACCTCTCACAATATTTTTTGCTCACTTCTACATGTGCTTTAGCTTGTTAATGTGTTTCCTACAATGTGCTCAGAAGCAAATATCATTCTACAGATGGGATGTGATTAGGATAGAGTATAAAGGTACTTTCTCCCTCACTCGGAGCACTGGGTGCTTATTAATGCAGTTCAAAATAGGATTAGGTCTTTTGACTATCATGTATCACTGTTGACTCAGATTGAAGTTGCAATCCACCAAAACCCCCAGATCTTTTTCACAAGAACTATTGTGACTACCTGAAAGCCAGGATTAAAAAAAGAGCCTAGACATCATCTTTCAAGAAATTATCAAGGAAAACTGCCATGATATTCTAGAACCAGAGGGTAAAGTAAAAATTGAAAGAATACACCAATCACCTCCTGAAAGAGATACCAAACAAAAACCCCTAGGAATATTGTAGCCATATTCCATAGTTCCCAGGTCAAGGAAAAAATGTTTCAAGCAGCCAGAAAGAAACAATTCAAGTACTGTGGAAACACAATCTGGGTAATACAAGATTTAGCAGCTTCCACATTATGGGACTGGAGGGCTTGAAATAAGATATTCTGGAGGTCAAAGGAGGTATTATTAAAATTAAGAATCACCTTCCCAGCAAAATTGAGTATAATCCTTCAGGGGGAAAAATGGACATTCAACAAAATAGAGGACTTTCAAGCATTCTTGATGAAAAGACCAGAGTTGAGTAGAAAATTTCCCTTTCAAATACAAGACTTAAGAGAAGCTCGAAAAGGTAAACAGAAAGAGAAATCCTAAGGGACATTAAAGTTGAACTGTTTACATTTCTACATGGAAACATGATATTTGCAACTTATGAGACCTTTCTCAGCACTAGGATAATTGGAGGAAATTATATATATATAGACAGAGGGCACAGGGTGAGTTGAATATGAAGGGATGATATCTAAAAAATATCAAGGGGTGAGAGAGGATTATACTGGGAGAAGGAGAAAGGGAGAGGTAGAATGGGGTAAATTATCTCACATAAAAGAGGCAAGAAAAATATTTTACAATGGAGGGGAAGTGGGGAGAAGTGAAAGAGAATGAGTGAACCTTAGTCTCATTGGATTTGGCTTATAGAGGGAATAACATACACACTCAATTGGGTATGGAAATTTATCTTACCTAAAGAAAAAAAGGAGGGAAGGGGGTAAAAGAGTGGGGAATGATAGAAGGGAGGGAAGACTTGGGGAGGCAGTAATCAGAAGCAAACACTTTTGAGGAGTGACAGGGTCAAAGGACAGAATAGAATAAATGGGGGCACAATAGGATAGAGGGAAATACAGTTAGTCTTTCACAACATGACTATTATGGAAGTATTTTGCATGACTACACATGTATAACCTACATCAAATTGCTTGCCTTCTCAATAAGGGTGGATGGGGAGGGAGGAAGGGAGAGGATTTGGAACTCAAAGTTTTAAAAATGAATGTTAAAATTGTTTTTATATGCAAGTGGGAAATAAAATATAAAGGTAATAGGGTATAGAAATCTACCCTGCCCTACAGGAAAATAGAAGGGGAAGGTGATAAGATAAGGAGTTGATAGAAAAGAGGGCAAATTGAAGGAAAGAGTTTTTATAATGCATGTTGTCTTGGGGTGGGGGAGGGGAGAGATGGAGAGAAAATTTGGAATTCAAAATCTTGTGAAAGTGACTATTGAAAACTAAAAATTAATTAATTTAAAAAATCATATTAACCAAAAAAAATAAACTGCACTAGAAAAACAAAAAGAACTATTGTGTAGACATTTGTTGTTGTTCAGTCATATCTGACTTCATGACCACATTTGTAGTTTTCTTGGCAAAGATACTGGAATGGTTTGCCATTTCCTTCTACAGCTAAATTTTACAGATGAGGAAACTGTGGAGAATACAATTATATGACTTCCCTAGAGTCACACAGCTAGCAAGTGTCTAAGGCTAGATTTGAACTCATGAAGATGAGTCTTCCTGAATCTAATGATGTTACTCTATCCATTGCACCACCTAGCTGCCCATTGTCTAGATAGATATAACTCCATGTGATATTTGTGAAATTGATGTCTAACCCAGTTTGAGATACTCATATTTATCCATAATATGTTCCATCTTATTCACTTTAGATCATTATTTTAGTGTGTCAAGATATTTTTGCATCCTGACCCTTTTATGCAATGTGTTAATTATCTATCCTTCCAGTTATTTGCACATATGAAAAGTATGCCATCCATACCTTTATGCAAATCATTGTTTAAAATGTGAACAATATAGGACCAAACACTGATGCCTGGGCCCCTCCACTAAAAGAGTTATTTTACTTATTTATGGCTATTCTTTGAATCCACCCCTTCCAAATTTG